GTAGGGGGGCGGGTTTAGGGGTGTAGGGGGGTGCAAAGCGACTGAAAAACGTAAACGCCCGTGAAAAGGATCACGGAATACGGCGCGCGGGAGGATCATCATTCCGGAGTCAGCAGAAAAAAAAACGGCTCCGGTTAACTCCCCGGCCCGGATCGCGGATATTATTGCGGAATCCGGGGATTTTCCGCGCAGAAAAATATTAAATTTAAAGCCCTCGCAGCCCCCTTCCTCGCCCCCGCCCCCGTTTCCGGAGCAGTGCGCGCTCCGCGATTCTCTTTCGATTCGTTTCTTCGCCCTGCCGCACGGTGGATCGAATCAAAAGGAGAGGTCGGACAAATGGAAACTTTGAACGTTTATGACCCCAGGGTGTCTACAAGTCCGGAATGGAGATGTTGCATGTGTGAGAAATTTGACTGTTGATTTTTACGTAAAAGTTGGCGAGAAACACGATAGTGCCACTGGTTTTCTCTGAAATCAACTCCCAAGCTCAAAAAAAGCTCTCAAGTTGAGGCCAAAATGGAGGGGATATCCCACGCTATCCTGAGAGTCCACCTCTACATCAAAACAAACTCTCTATGCTAAGATAGGGAACAAATACATTGACAGGGCTGCCACTTTATTTGGGGACGCCAAAACTGAAAACACGACAACCCTGCTAATGTATTTGCTCCCTATCTTTGCATGAGAGTTTGATGTAGAGGTGGGTTCTCAGAATAGCGTGGGATATCCCCTCCATTTTGGCCTCAACTTGAGAGCTTTTTTTGAGCTTGGGAGTTGATTTCAAAGAAAACCAGTGGCACCATCGTGTTTCTCGCGAACTTTTACATATGAATCGATAGTCAAATCGCACATTCCTCACACATGCAACATCTCCATTTCCGGAAAGTCCGGAAATAGTACTGATTTTTTAAGGGCGGTCCGGATGTACGAAAAAAGCGCGGAAATTCCGTGAGAGGTCCGGACTTTATTCCATTTCTTGGTGATTTTTGTCGTAATTGGAGCGAGGTATTCAAATTTTTTTAATTTTTTGAATTCCATCAAATAGAGGTACTGAAGAAGTACTGCATTTTTCTGTTAAGGAGGTACTGAATTTTTTGGAAAGTACTGAAAAAATACTGTAAAAGTCCTGATTTTTGGCCAGCCTGTTTTGGTAGACACCCTGAGCTCCGTTTATACAAAACTTTGATATTTTAAGAGTGGTTTAATTGGTTTCTTCTTAAAGTTTTCTTTTAGAAGCACCCCGTAAAATTTAAAATGTAAACCTCAAAATGTGCAGTTTTAGCAAAAAATTTCATGTCCCACCCCTCTAATTGACTCGATCCACTGTGTGCCGAGGTAAAACGGCGTATGAACAACCGGACTTGCCAAACTTTTCCCGGTGAAACGAGAGTGCAGTGCAGGTTGTTCCATGCCTCCGCAATGGAACACTAGACAAAGTACGCATCTCATCATTCTGATTCATGTACTGGACCAAAATTCCATGTAGAATACGATTTACGCAACGAAACTTACTGTTTACGCAACGAAACTTACTGAAATTAACTCCTAACTAAGATAGTTAATGTTTATTGACGCGAGAATTCAAACCTCCCGCGCGCTCTTGAAAACACAAGAGTCTACGTGAGTCCAATTGCACACTGAACTTTACCATTACAATCTGTTCGATGTGGAAATCTGGCAACCTCAATCTTGACGCTTTGGCTCAGCTGTAGAAAATTGTTTACACTTTGAGCGATAAAGGATGGGAAAGGTACAATGCTCGATTGAGGAGCCTGCCCAAACTTTTGTGAGGCGCGATTTGACTCACGTAGAGTTGCGCGTCTCTTGTAATCGGGCAATTCTAAATTCCCGGAACCAATTTAAAATAAAAACGGTCTTATCTTAGTTAGGAGTTGATTTTAGTACTTTTCGATGCAAGAATCGTTTTTGACGTGCAATTGTGGTTGAAAAACATGAATCAGAATGCTTTTTCTGGTGGTGCGAAAACGGCCATGTAGTTGTGCGCTTCGCGCGATATTTTTTGTGACTTTTAAGCGGCTCAATGCTAAAACGATGTATTTCAATTGATTTCGAAGATTCCTAGGGGTGTGAAAACGGCAATTCGGTTGTGCGCTTCGCATGACATTTCTTGTGACTTTCAAACTACTCGCAATGCTAAAACGTTGTATTATATGTGATTCAACAGATTTCTGGTGGTGCGGAAACGGCCACGCAGTTGTGCGCTTCGCGAGATATGTTTTGTGACTTTCAAGCGACTCAATACTAAAACAATGTATTCTACGTGATTTCGAAGATTCCTAGGGGTACGAAAACGGCCATGTAGTTGTGCGCTTCGCGCGATATTTCTTGTGACTTTCAAACTACTCATTGCTAGGACGCTGTAATATACGTGATTTTGAAGATTCCTACGTGTACGAAAATGGGCATGCACTTGTGTGATTCGCACAATATTTCTTGTGACTTTCAAACGACGCAATGCTAAAACGCCGTAGTCGACGTGACTCAACTTTCTGGTGGTGCGAAAACGGCCATGTAGTTGTGCGTTTCGCGCGATATTTCTTGTGACTTTCAAACTACACATTGCTAGGACGCTGTAATTTACGTGATTTTGAAGATTCCTACGTGTACGGAAATGGCCATGCACTTGTGCGCCTCTCACAATATTTCTTGTGACTTTCAAACGACTCAATGCTCAAACGCCGTAGTCGACGTGACTCAACTTACCTAGTGATCCATTGTTTGCAACGAGCTGGGTTTTTCAAAAAGGTCAACACAACGCGCTGATCTAAATTTTATCAAATTTGTAGAAAGCGCAACCAGACTTCACAAACTACAACAATTACTAAAACCACGCTTTTACCGAGAACGCGGTACTTCTTTTTAAATGTGTATCTAACCTCCTTCGGTGTCCACCGAATTTTCGTCCACGCGCTTTAGTTAAGGTCATTTCAACTTGGCGATCTTATTGTGCTATAACCACTGCCACTGTGTTTTTTTCTTTTATCTAAAATTTTTAACTTTGCAGGATTTTGAAATTTTTATACGACCTTTATCAATACATTTATGTAAAATAGTCTAAATAAATATTCATTTTCTGTTGCAGGTTAACTTTGAGTATAACAATTCGTGTTGCATTGGCGAAGGCATGGAGTAAACTCATAACATTCTGGTAAGTAATGACAATGTTCGAAGCTCTTTTTTATGACAGCACATATTATACGACAAAAAACATGATTAAGGAGAACAACCCCACCCCATGTCCAGTGGCGTTGCCAAATTTCCTTTGATAAAACGCGAATTTCCTGGTGAACTTATGAATATTTTTGATTATGATTATTTTGCGACAGTCGTTGTGATGTAAAAATCTGGCAACCTCAATCTTGACGCTTTGGCGCAGTCATAGCAAACTGCTTATAGTTTGACCAACGCATGGTGGGAAATGAAAATTGCTCGATTGAGAAGCTTGCTGAAACCGTCGTAGTGCGCGATTTGACTCACGTAGAGCTTTGAGTTTCTTGTGAGCGGGCAGTTTAAGTTCCTCGTAACCAATGTGAAATGAAAACGTTAATGCCTTCGTTTGGAGTTTGTTTCGGTAATTTTCGTTGCGCGAATCGTGATTTGGGTGAAATCCTGGTTAAGAAACATGCATCAGAATCAAAGACATAAAGACGGAGCGCTAAAAGCAAAAAATGAAGCTTCTTTTCAACCACCTCTACTATTGGCTAGAGGATTGGCGGCAAAATCGAGACAAGTTTGAAATTCAAATGTAGGGCGGGAACTAAATAAAATTGCGGAAACAAAGTATTCTAGGTTGATTTTTGCCTAAAGTCACTTACCCACCTATATTTTTTTAACTTTAGGTTAGTTTTGGTCCGTCGTCGACCGATTAATTTCATTTGGGAGTAACAGTCATCTAGGACTGTAACGGCCTGGTTGAACCGGCAGAACTTTATCCGAGATTACTGCCTGTTACCGACAAAAATTATGTGTATTATAAAAAGTCGCAGTCCCAAATTTCTTAGTATATTCGTTCTAGGCATTTAAAATACGTTTCGAAGAAGAAATATGGAAAAATCAAAGGGACAAATTCATATCAAATTTCCGTTTGCCGCCATGGATTCCCGCGCTCATTTACACACTCACACAAGCACCCAGCGCCAAACCAGGCTTCACTTTTTCCCCGTGCTTTTAGATACGAGCACTCCGTCTTTATGTCTTTGGTTGGGAGTTTATTTCGGTAACTTTCGTTGCGCGAATCGTGATTTGCGTGAACTCCTGGTTAAGAAAAATACTTCAGAATGCTTGAATTTGTACCTTGTCCAGTGATCCATTTTGAAATACGAGGAAACTTGTCATCCTCCGACCAAGTTTGGTTTCCCCGTTATCAAGCCATCAGCGCACGTTTATCCGGGACTCAGCCCGCCAAATCTGGTCGGGACGAGAGAATACCAGCAAGCTTCGGTCGGAGCTTTTGCGCGGTTGTCACATCAGATTAAAATCCTCCGGTTTTAACACCCAGTGAAACGACGGGCTTAATTTTCGTTATCCGGCAACCGTGGGTGCGTAACACTTAATCTTTCCGCGCGTCTGTGTGTCTGTCGTAGCCGCTTAAAATAAATGGAATTCCGAGCGCGCATCACGTTTCGCGCACGCACATCACGGCAGTCGCACGGTCCTGCGTGACGTCTCGCGCGCATCCGTCTACGTGACGTCATGAGAGGTCGTGATGATCCGTCGAAAGGCGAAATGCTCCTACGGGGTTTTTCGTAGAGTACCTATAAATGGGAGAGTATTGCCATCTCAATCCTTTTACCACAGAAAAAGTATGCCGCTCTCTGATTGGTCGGCTATCATGGAGCCCCAAAGTTGGACCAATGTAAACAAACCGCAGTCCCTCCGCTCCTAGCTAGAGTACCTTTATAGACAGAGTATGGCCATTTCTGTTCCGGTTTTTCATTGGTCGCGTGAAAATAGGCTGACACGATGTTCTTACGGCCGTAAATAAACGAACAAGGTGGCTGTTATCAGCAAGCAAGATTGAGGTTATGCACATCTTACATCCTCCTGTGATAAAGGTGAAAGACGATTTAACAATGTTTTCAAGTGTTTTTCGAGTGTTATTCGTAGATATGCAAGTTTAAATTGTTACTGCCGTATGATTGATATTTTTGTCAAATTTAGCTTCTTATCGATGTTATGTGTGTCGCCATCTCGTTTGTTTATTTACGGCCGTAAGAGCATTATGAAGCCTAAAAACTCGTTGACCAATCAAAAAGCGGAACAGTTTTCCTGTATTAAAAAGATACGAATGGCCATACTCTGTCCATAAAGGTACTCTACTCCTAGCTTAGTCCAATGTAAACAAACAAAATGGCGACAAAGTTCTACAAAGTTCTAGAAGTGATTGTGGATTTGATAGAAATTTTTTATGATCAACTTCTGAATTGAGCTCGGATCGACCTTTAATGAATATTTTTGCCGAAAATTAACCTTTGAGTATGATTATCATTCATTTCTCAGCCGATAATACGTATTCCTCTGGGTCGGGTTCGTTTGCATTGGTCCATTTTTGGAGCTTCATGATAACTGATGAACCAATCAGAGAGCGGCACAGAGATGTCAATACTCTCCCGTATTCAGGTACTCTATACTTGGACGGAATGCTATCTTACGGGGTTTTTTCGTAGCACAGCAGTATATAGCACACAACCTAACTCGCTTTTCGTGATTTTCAGGATTTTATCACACCCCCCCCCCCCCTTCCCGAGAAATTTTTGACCGTTAGCCCCCAACTCCAATGAACGTTTTTGATAATCGCACTTATACGCTCTGATGATATCCTTTCCTGGAGCCATCTCTCATATGGGATCGTCCATCAATAACTTAATGCCTGCATCCTCCCATATGAGTAATTATAAATCAGCCACAGTTAATCAATGGCAATAATGATGCTAAGGTTTCCGATTTTTCGGAAATGAATCCTTTAAGCCCAGACACGCTTATACACACACAGGGTGTTTCAAATTTTCATTTTGAAGATTTCTGGTGTTTTGGGAGTAAAATAATATTTTTTCAAACATTTTTTAGAGTCACGGCTCCGCACTCCCAACGCTACTATGCTGCCGTGATAGCGAATAGAGCAGTAAGTGCATTTTTGCATCACACTGAAAAAAAAATCTCGGTTTATTTACTAAGAAAAGGGTAAACTTACCAAGAATTCAGAGTTCTATTTGATCCCAGTTTTTTCTTGGTAAAATCACCATTTATGAAATTGGTAATTATACCGAGAAATCTCGGTAAAATTATTGAACTTTCTCGGTAATTTTACCGGACCTTGGTAAAAACGTCAATATTTTTTATCGACTATGGTAAAATTACCGAGATAAAATGGCAAAGTTACCGGGAATTGATTACCAATAAAACTGGTATTTTTACCTGAAAAAACAGTAAAAAATACCGGTTTTTAGGTAAGCTTACCAGTCTGTCTTGGTAAAATTACCTATAATTGGTAAAAAAAGTGAGATGGTGAAGGTACCAACGGACCGTGGTAAAAACGCCGAGAATTTTTTTTCAGTGCAGCCATGGTTAGCACAATGTCTCGAGGTTCATCCCAGCAAATGCTTGCTGCTCTCTTTGCTATCACGACAGTAAGATCAATAAATAAATGAGGAATAATTGAGTATCCGTCCACTCTGATCGTTATAGAAAATCTGTCTCCGGCGGCAATAAGAAGTGCTCCCATCATTTTGCTGAATCTCAGAAATAGAGAAGTATTCATTTTATATGAGGATGGCATGAGAGTATCAAATTTTCAAGTAGTTAAAACCAATGCCACGTAATTACTCACGTAGTGCTTGAAGCACCATTACGAATGAGACTAACGGAAACAAACATAATATGGAAATAAAGCTAGAGAAAGGATGCGCGTTCACGACGGCGCAGAGATACAACTATTCGTACTTGATGGATGTCCGTGTTGCATCTGAAAAATTGAAGGCGCGATGACGCGAAGCGTGAGCTCTCAATGCTCTGCTATATGCTGTCAATGAGGTGTCGCTCAGATTCGGGAGAAAAGTTAAAAAGAGGCCCGAATACGTCTTTCCTGTCTTCGGCTGTGTTGACACTCGTTCTTTCTTCTTTTTTCAGGTTCTTGTCTGATTCTTTTTCTGGAAGGCTTTAATTGCAGACCTATGTCTTAAGCTCGTGTAAACCGCAGCACTGGCTCGGTTCTTTTGGAAATAACGGTGCTTGGATGCGTCTAGTGTCTTTAATTGTTTGTTTTCTTTAATTTCAGAAGTCTGTCGGCTACTTCAATACGTTCAATTTTGCAATTTTTACTCTGCACGAACTTGTGCTGCTTTGCCATTTTCTGAGCCCCCCTCCACGTAGAGACGCCCTACAAGGAAATATCACATTACGCCCCTTTAACCAGCCAAGGGTCTACGCCCTTAGATGCAAGCCAGTCCGACCCTAAAAATATTCCCAACGTTACGTTGAGAATATTTTTCCTTGAAATTTTCAGGAACCTCAGGTGAAATTGCCTGAAAAAACCAAATTATCTGGAAAATTGGAAGGAGAATTTGCACAAGTTTACCAGGAAATTCGTGTTTTATCATAGAAAATTTGGCAGCGCCTGAAGGTTCATACGGTGTTTTCCTGAGAACGGCAGCTTAGTTTACACATAAGAGGCCTACCCCAGAAATACCCTATTTTACCCTAAAACACGAACTTCGAAATCTTCAAACTCGATTGTGAATCACCCTGTATTCCGGAAAAAGTAGAGGAAAGGCAAACTTCAAAGCCTAAACGAAGCCGCTAATTCGTTTAAGGGATGCACCTCCAACGCGGTGTCTCTTTGGTGTGAGCTGGCCCGTGAACCCATTACCACCGCTACCCTGTTGAGTAAAAACAAAGTAACTCCAATTAAAACCTTATCTACAAATGCGGTTCTCTGTGCAAAGGGTGATTAGGCACCCCCAAAAAAGGTCCACCCCGATTCACCGAGCAACACCTGTTGGACGGCGCACGGTGGATCGAGTCAACAGGAGAGGTCGGACCGTTGGCAACGGTCGGACAAAAGTTGGAAACATTAAACGCTTATACTGCCGTGCTAAGGAAGAACGCTGTATGAGCCTTTGGACGATGCCAGATTTTCGTAGGTAAAACGAT